GGCTCGCGCCTGAGACTTCGTCAAGATTCAAGCCAGGCTGGGGGACCTACAAGTGGCGACTGGTGCAAGTTTCGCATGACCCGGTCGGATTACCAATATGCAGCGCGGGCCCCATGGGCAGGGGGTTCCCGCCTGGGATTTGTTCGCAATTCGCTCACAGATGAGGTTCCCGCCAAAGGCCTCCTAAATATTCAGGCGCGAAGGGCCCAAAAATGACGACTGTTACAAGATTTGGATGACCCGCTCGCATTACCAGCATGAATCGCGGGCTCCATAGGGAGGGGGCTCCCGCCTGAGACTTCCCCGCAAGTCACTCAAACGCGAGGTTCCCGATTGAGGCCTCTTCGAAATCCAGGCGCGAGGGTCCCAAAAGTGATCACAAGTACAGGTTTTGAATGACCCGCAGCTCGGGTTACCAACATGAAATGTGGGCTCCATAGGGAGCGGATTTCCGCTCCAGTTTTCCTGGCAATTCACCCACAAACGAGGCTCACGCCGGAGGCTTCTTCAAAATTCAAGCGAGAGAGGCCCAAAAGTGACGACAGTTACATGATTTGTATGACCCAGTCCGAATACCAGCATGAATTGCGGGCTCCATAGGGAGGAGGCTCCCGCCTGAGACTTCCTTGCAAGTCACTGACAAACGAGGTTCCCGCTTGAGGCGTTTTCAGAATTCAGGCGCGAAGGGCCCAAAAGTGACGACAGTTACAAGATTTAAATGACCCGTTCCGATTACCAACATGAAGTGCGGGAGTGGTGACGATAATGATGGTGATGAGTGATGCGTGAGTGAGTTTGTGAGTGGATGAGGGACTGAGTGATGATGGAGATGGACATGGTGATGATGATGATGATAATGATGATGATGATGATGATGATGATAATGATGATGATGATGATGATGATGATGATGATGATGATGATGATGATGATGATGATTATTGTGATGAGTATGAATGCATCAGTGTGCGAGTGTGTGAGTGGCGAAGAGAGGGGGTGATGATGATGACGACGGTGATGATGATGATGATGCTGATGATGATGATGATGATGATGATGATGATGATGATGATGGTGGTGATGTGGGTGGGTTCCTGTTCCTGGTCCTGCGCGGGGTGTCTGGGAAAAAACAAGAACCCCCTTTATTCGGATGTGGGGAACAAACCCGCCCCCGGATTCTTCGAGCAAGAGTTGTTATTGCACATGGGTTCCGACTGCCCACGTAGAATTATTATCGAAGTGCATTGCTTCTCTCCCGTCCTCTCCCGCCCCATCTCTTCCTTGCTCCTTTCTCGCTTCCGCTCCCTCGCCCTCCTTCGGGCGTTGCCCATTGCGCAACTGCCGCCCGATGTCTGGAGCTCCTGGGGGGTCCAGCGGAGCGATGTCCCACGCTAGACCTTGTCCTCCCGAGATGTTGCCAGACGCGCGGCGATCGCCACGTTGACTGCTCCCCTGGGGATGGGGCGTCCAGCGGAGCGACGTTTCACTCCAGACTTCGCCCTCCCTGAGTTCTGCCAGGCGCACAACTGTTGCCGCTTTGCTGATCCCCTGGAGGGTCCAACGGAATGACGTCTGACGCGTGCAATTGTCGCCGCGTTGTTGCTCCCGTGGGGTGCAGGGTACAACTATGCTAGTTCTTGCCCTCCCTGACTTCTGCCAGGCGCTCAACTGTCGCCACGTTTCTGTGCCATGGGGGGTTCCACAGGAGTAACATCCTACGCTAGACTTGTACTCTCCGGATGCTGCCAGGCGCGCAACTGTTGCCGTTTTGCCCCTCCCCTGGAGGGTCCTGCGGAATGACGTCCTACGCTAGACCTCACCCTCCCTGAATGCTGCCAGGCGCGCAACTGTTGCTGCGCCAAATGAGGCATATACAGGCCCCCGATGGAGCTCTCGCATTTCGCCCGGGGCAACAGGGCCTTTCACATGTTATTTCGTCGTTGATGGGCCCGCTGCCTTGACCGCATAATCCAGGTGGGCTGGGTACGTTCCAGACGCCGAAGTAAAGGCCACGTCGTGCATGGGAGGGGCCTTCGTCTTCGGGCCGCTCCTCAGATCTAGGCCAGGGCGCCTATTCGTGGACGAGGCTAGCAGTGGCCAGAAAAGCTCCGCCCTCGGTATCGCTCGGCCGTGTGCGCTGTTTCTCGGCGGGGAGCATCCTGGATCCTCCTGCGAAAAAAAGCCACGCACGAAACCGAAAAAAAAAAGAAACAGGGAATGGACGTCCGAGCGATGGCCAGCGCCGTTCCTGATTACAGTCGGGCCCCTGAAGAAGGAACCCTTTTCGTTGGAGAGGGGCTCCGCGTTCCTTAAGTGTTTCACAGCTTGCCTCAGGCTTTCCTGATGTTTTCGGCAGGAAACCGAAGGTTAACTTATGGAAAAAAGGGGCCTCGTTCCTTATTTAGGGTTCCTTAGGTCAGCGCCCCGACTGTATGGCTGCATGTCCATCTGGAAGTGTCTCACCGGCTGCGCCGCGGCGCGCGCCGAGGAGGGGCAGGGTCGGAGGGAGGGGAGCGGAGCGTCCTTTGGGAGCTTGCCGCCCGAGGTCTATTGTGAGGGCAAAGCCGCGGGCAGCGACCAGGTTAAAACGCAGATCGGCGGAGTCTCCGTGCAGGTCCGCCGGCACCTGGACAAAAACACCAAGCAGGATGTGGTCACCGACATCTTCTGCGCCTGGGGCCACCGTGCCGAAAAGGATCGCATGCAGCCGAGAAGTAGCCCATAGCGGTAGGAGCGGATAGGAAGGCCAGGAGCAGGAAGTGTTCACCGGCGAGGGTGAGTCGGAGGGGCAGGCGTGAGAAGGAAGAGGTGGAGGGCAGAGCCCGCCATTGAGAGGAAGGACCAGGCAGACCCAGGAATGGTTGTCTTACATTCGGGCTCTGTCATACGTTGGTTTACGAGTGCATGCATTACTCTTGCATCTTACCCCATCGAGGCCCTGGGCAAGAAGAGGGACACACGAGCCATCCCCACGATATCCGCCAGTTCAGGGCACGACATCCTACACATGAACATGTTTCCACCAGCTGTGACATGACGGGCGTCACTGAGGGAACGCCGCAACCGCTCCGGGGCCCCAAGCGCCCAAGCGGGAGGTGACGAGGCGCTCCTCGGAGCGGCCAGGATCGACCCACGGCCCTGCAGACTCTGATTTGGGCCTGCCTCGGACCTCGGAGGAGACCCCGCTGGAGGTCGACGAGATCGCGGAGGCCTTCGACAAGCTGCTCACGGACGCGCACACGCACGGGAACGCGCAGGCCGCGGCCACCCTCTCCACGAGCCCCCAGCACCTGGCCGGGGTGCCTCGGCGGCCAAACCGAGGTTGTTTGCTCTCACTCCGCCATCCGTCCCCGCCCGCAAGCACCAGCAGGGAAGTTGCCAATGGAGGAGGGGACGGGAGGTGCCAGGAGAGGAAGCGTTTCCACCGAGCCAATGGAGGAGGGGACGGGAGGTTGCCAATGGAGGAGGGAACGGAGGGGGTCCATCTTCTGAGTCAGTGAGTACTTTCGCACTTACCCTCTTACCCCAGAAGCCCGTGCCTGCCCACTGACCCGATTACAATTTTAAACGCCATGAGCGCAGCCATGCATAAGGTTTCCTGTGTGCTGGCCAAATCGGAACGCAGTCGGTCCTCCAGAATGCTGTCCCTTCCAAGTGCATCGCTGGCCACACTTCAGGATCGGTAGGTTGCTTCCGTTGTTCGGAATGGCGCCCTCGCCCCAGAGCGGGCCACATTTCTGGGTAGGCATGGGGCTTGCGTCTCCCCGCCAAGGCGCCTTCGTGTTGTGCCATCACGCAACAGGTCCAGCGGCACCGACTTGAAATGTGCCGGTGCTGCCTGAACCGACATGTCTGGAGCCTGCGGTCTGCTCGAGTCACGGTCTCGCTTCGGCGTCGACCACGCTCACCTCCTGTTCTTTCCCCTCCTCGTCCTCTTTCTTCCTTCCTCCTCCTTTCATTCCTCCTCCATTCCTCCTCGTCCTCTTTCTCCATTCCTCCTCGTCCTCCTTCTCCTCCTCCATTCCTCCTCCTTTCAAGACCCTTTCAATATAGGCTCTGCAGCGCCGCCGCCGCGGTGCCGAAGCCTCAGGGCGCCAGCTGGTGGGCGCCGTACTCGATCTTCTTCTTCTTCTTCTTCTTCTTCTTCTTCTTCTTCTGCTTGGCGAAGAGCGCTCCTCCCTTCGGCTCGCGAGCTGAGGGGCGCTCAACCTTCTCTGATCTTCTTACCCTGCCTTTGTGGACCTATTCCGACCAGGCTGGTCGGTGGCCCTGCCTCGCCTGTAACGCGAGGCGGCGGCCCCTCAGTGGGGGCCTGCCATGGGGCAGGGTGCTCCATCTCGTCTGCTGTCGCTGTCGGACGACCCGCCCTTCGGCCGCTCTTGGGCTGCGGGCCGCCCGACCTCATCTTCTGTGCTTTTCCTTGTACTGGTCGCCACTTCGTATCCGCTGTGGTGTCTTCTTGGCAGCTTGCCCTTCGGCCTCCTGGCTGTGGGTTGCCCTTCATCGCGGTGTGCTCGTTGTCGCTGCCGTTCGTGTCATTCTGGCAGCCCGCCCTTCTGCCTGCTGGCTGCGGGCTGCCGATCGTCACGGGGTGCACGTTGTCGCTGTTGCAGGTCTCTGTAGGTGGTCGCAGAGCCAGGCGATGCGCCATGTCGTTCTTGTCGTGTTGGCAGCCCGCCCTTCGGCCTCCTGGCTGCGGACTGCCGCTCGTCAAGGTGTGTTCGGAGTCGCTGTTTTGCGTCTCCGCGAGTGGACTCCGAGCCGAGCGATGCTCCATGTCATACTTGTCCTGCTGGCAGCCCGCCCTTCGGCCAACTGGCTGTGGACTGCCGTGCAGATGATTGTGTTCGTTGTCGCTGTCGTTCGCCTTCATGGGTGCCGTTTGACATGGCCTGTGGTCGCTTAGCACTCGGACGTTGAACTCTTGATCATTTGCTCTTTCAGTCCGTGCTGGATGCCGATCGGTCGCTGGACCCCCATGCTCACGTGGCGACATATTGCCTAGTAGCCGCGATGGCACATGAGGACTTTGCGCTCTAACGCCTACCAGCATACATGGCGACGTAGTGCCCAGTAGCCCTGCTGGCACACTCGGGCTTCGCGCTCTAACACATGATTTCATACCATGCTCCGTGGTGTCTGCGATTGTTTCCGTCCTAAGGCCCACTCCACTGGGTAGCGTGTCGTGGTCGTGCTCGGGGTAGTTACGGCTGTAGTTGGTGGCGGTGTGGTTGCTGGCGGGGTATTCGCTGTTGTCGCCACAGGAGGTGTCCCAACGCTGGTCGTACTTGAAGTACTTGCCGCAGCTGGTGTTCATGGCGTTGGCTGGTGCAGCGCGGGATAGAAGCCCCATCTCGCTATGATCATCTCGTCGAGCTGGGCGGCTGCGGTGACGTCGAAGTCGTCAGCGGGGGTCTCTTTCAGCTTGGTTTCGTGTGTGGGATCTGCTGAGTTAAAAACATATTGATGGTACCAAGCTCGTAGGGGTTGGCCGTGCTACTCGTCGTTGCCGTGTGTTTGATGATGTGGTGGCTGTCGGGAAGCTTCCAGAAGATTGAGCCCTCGGCATGGATGGCGAGGAAGGGTATCTTCGCTTCAGCGACAGCGTGCACGGTAGTGACGACTTCTCTTGTGACGGAGTTGGTTGAGTAGAGCTCGTTGGCGATATGTTCTGTGGTGTCGGGTGGTCCCCATGGGATTTCCACAGAGCGGCGGCTGCTGGCATGATTGGCGATGACCTCGGCGTCGCCTAGGCGGCACCAGGTTCTTCTTGTAATATCGGCGTATATGGCGGCGATCTCTCCCTTCATGATCCTGTCGCGGATGAACTGTAAGCGATGATCCTGTCGTGTCTGTGTTTGGTAATTGTTGTCGGGGTCGATCATGCTGGAATCCAAGTCACTCGCTCTGGTGGCGGCGCTGGTGGCCATGATCTGTTGGAGGTCGCCTGGCTGCCGAGGGCGGTCCATGATGAATGCCATGTCCTGTCGTTCGGCTGGCGCAGGTGGCTCTGGCACTGTAGGCTGATGCGTCGTGGATTGGATGGCGGCGTAGACCTTCAGAAGGGCAGGCGATGTCGCCAAGAGTGGGAGCGACGTGATGTCGATCTTGTAGGCTGGTATCTCGTTGAAGGTCGCATGTCGGCCAGTCTGCTTGTTGCCTGCCGTGGTTGTGGCTATGGCTTCGAAGTTGTCTGCTATGTGCTGCTCGGTCAGCGGTTCCCTCATCGCGGCGCGCCCTGCATGCCAGGACTTGCGGCATCGGTGGGCGACCGCCAGGTGCTTCAGGAGTCTCGGTAGGGTATGGAATTCCGCCCGGCAGCATCCGCGCGCCGCACCCGTTGCCCAGCGCCGATGGTTCTCGCAGTCGGGGTGGTTTTTGCCCATGTGCACTGCCATGCCCTGCTCGGTGGCTGCGCGGCCGCAGATGTAGCAGGCGTGCTTGGCATTGGCGTCGTCGTCGGACTGGTCGATCTCGATGGTGCTCGATGGGATCTTAGGCCTCTGGATGGCCTTCTGGAACTTCGCAAGCTGAGCCTGGTCTCTCGTGTAGCGCAGGTAGGCCTTAATAGCGGACTTGGCAGCATTGGTGAAGAGCTTGGGCTTCTGGCGGGCCCAGTTGGTGATGTCGCTGTCTTGCTGGTTCTTGCTCGGCCATCTGTCTTTTGGAAGGTGCTTTCTGAGAAAGGTAAAATCCTGTTTGAGAAGACGGCTCCAGGTGTCTCTGCGCTGCCGCCGGCTATCAAGTAGCTGGAGTAGGACTGCGGGCGCATGGTTCAGGAGGCGCGGTAGGTAGCGTAGTCGGGCTGCCGTCTGGTGCGCGTCGAAGTCGGGGATGTCCATCTTCGCGAGTGCCCCGATGTTGGCGACGTGTTTGTCGGGCGTGTTCGTCTTGGGCAAGGCGGCCGCAACTCGGTAGGGGCCCATATACTTGGCCACTATGTTGTTGCGGTCTTTCTTTTTCAGGCAGTTCCAGATGTGGCGGTTGTAGGTCAGCGACGACGTCGAGAGGGTGTGCACACACTTCGGCTTGGCCTTCGTCGTCAGCTTATTGCGGCGGAGGATCTGCTTCTCGAGTGGTCTTGCTGCGCCGAGAGTTCTGTCGACTCTGAGGCATATCTCAGGGCCCATGACCCTTCCCGCCGCGACGATGGCCCCGAGGGTTTTCTGCTGGGTCACAAGTTGGCCTTTGATGGAGAGGTTCTCGAGCTCGGTGAAAGTGACCTTGTCCCTGGCGATCCCCTGACGCTCCTTCCTGGCCCCGCTGCCGCAGTGCATGAGGATGGCTTTTGTCTTGTCTGGGTGGGGCTTGAGTCCGTGCTGGTTTGCTGCTGTGCAAAGTCTGGTGGCTGAGAGTCGCGTCGTCTGGATCAGGTCGCAGGCGTCGGCGGTCGAATGGTAGTCTGTGAGGTCGTCGGCGAATGACATGTTCCTGAGCACGCTACCGTCGTGAGGTGTTGCCGAGAAGAGCGGGGGCGCGCACGCCTCGGTGTCGTGGCCTCCTGGAGGTTGGTTGCTGTCTGCGGCCTCTGCAGCTGCGCGGTCGACTGTCCGCAGCACGATGGCAAAGTGCGCGTTGAAGGCAACGTCGGAGCACGGCGCGCCAGGTCGCGCGCTGGTCCTTGGAAGCTGGTAATGCTTGGGGCTCTTGGCCGCCATCCAATTGGAGGTGTGGCGGTCTGCGATCACGCGGCAGAGGTGCTCGTCATCGACGTTATGCTTGTTGCATGCTGGTTGCTGTAGTCTGTCGATGAGAGAGGGCTTGAGGAATGCCGGGGCGTCTATCCGCTCGATGAGGTCGTTGAGTTCGTCGGCGGAGGTAGGGCAGAATTCCTTGATTACGGAGTGGAATGCTTCCCTGAGGTCGAGGAATGCGATGCTGCCCGATCTAGCCCTTCTCTGACAGTCGGCGATGAATGCGAGGGAGGTGTGGGTGATGAAGTCACATGCCATCTTGGGTCGCGCTCCACACTGCGCCACTTCCAGCAAGTTGGGCAGCAGGCCTTTCACTCGCGAGCGTAGAAAACTGATGTGCATCTTCCCGACGGCGCTGTTGAGCAGGATGCCCTGGTAGGGCCCATGCTGTTCTATGGCCCCTTGGCCCTTGTGTAGAAGTGCGCGGAGTGCCCCCCCTTGGCGGCCATGGGCTCGGTGCTCTCGGTCTGCGTCTGGACCCATATGAGACGTAAGAGACGAGCCATCCCTTCGTGGTCTGCTCTGGCCATGTCGTCTGTAAGCTGGTCTGGTCCTCTTCGTCGTCTTCTCTTGGCGGCTGCCGGCTGGCTAGTGAGCTGGTGTCGCGGGATGATGTCATGAATATTCGGGTTCGGCCGCGCTGCGCAGGCGCGCTCGTTGTAGTCCTTGGCTACCCCATCGGCGCCAGTCAGAATGCCCATCTCGATCTTGCCGTAGTGCGAAAGGGCGTGATCGGCGATCCCGGCCTTGGTTGTGAGGGGCTTCCCGTCTACGGCACTGGGGATGACGGGCGCGGGCGGCTTTCTCGGCTTGCGCCCCTCAAAGACCAACAGATGCGTAGCACGTAGGGCCTCTTGTCGCGGTGCGTGATCGTCGGTGGCGGTGCTCATTTCTCTGGCGGTCTTCGCATCGCGGCCCTCTTCGGTCCACTTCCTGAGTAGCGGCTTGGTTGGTTTGAGGCGTTGCGCGATGGTACCGTAGTAGTGCTTGGCGTTGTCGATGTAGTTGTTATGCTTTGCCTGGTGTCTCGGCGTTTCGCCGAAGATGATGGATGCGGCGACGAGATGGGCGTAGTCGTTGATGTTGGCCAAGAGCCCCGCGTCCGATGGGTTGGGGAGCACGGCGTCTTGCGCGAGTAGCTTTGTTGTGTATCGGAGCCGCTTCACATCGTAGTCGTCGGCCCCCGTTCTTCTTGACGACGCGGGTCGCCTTGAGGAGTGATCGGCGGACTCGCAGCAGAGCGAGAGACCGATTCGCGTTGCGGGGCTTGCGTGGTGCGCGGCCGCGGGAGCGGAAGAACTGGTAAGCAGACTTGGTTATATTCTCGGTGACGGTGGCGAGGTGGTCGTTGACGGTGGCGCCCCATGCAGGGTGCTGGATGTCGCGGAGCTTATCACTGAAGCGATTGTGGCAGGCGTCGTCGGCCAGCTTGTGTTCATCGGGCTCGGGGGCGCCCTTGGTGGCCGATGATGCGATCTCCCATGCGAGCTCCAGCTTGACGGGGTAACGGTCATCCTCGGAGTCAGGGTCGCAGCCATTGTCGACACCATACAGGACCGAGAGCAAGCCTCGACCGAGTCCAGGTATCCCCATGGAACGATGACGTTGTCGATGCGGTGGGGGTTCTTGCCTGGGTGCCTTGTGAAGCGCTCGGGACCGTTGCTGACAAATGCGTTGGTGACCGCGAGGTGGTTGGAAAGGAGCAACTCATGGAGCCGTCGACCGTTTGGATTTTCCATCTGCTCCATGCCCTGGTCGCCAATCGCCGCGCTGGCGATGTCGCCCGTTCTGGCACTGGCGTGTGTCAGGATGCTGTTGATGTGGCATGTTGATGTCGCCTCGGCAGGCGTATTCCAGGATATGGTCTTCTCGGCCTCGAGGGCGTTGGAGTGGGGCGCTCGCTCGGATGATAGGGAGCCCATGGTCCTTCTCAATGGCAATGAACTGGTCGGGCTTGAAGAAGAGTTCCTTCTTGTGGCACCTCACGCATGGCTTACTAAGGAGGACGTGGAGCTCACATCCGTAGTTGTATCCCTTGTGGCCGCTGGAGATGACGCGGTAGCTATTGGCTTTGGCACAGGAGGCATCGTCTTCTTGATCTGAGTCGCGCACTCCCCATGGCGCCCTGGCCTCCTGGATGCCGATGAGATGTAGGTATGTGTCGTAACGGCTGGCCACAGTAGTTTTCAATGTTGATGATCTTCTTACGTCGCTTGGCTCCGTCTATGGGCCCCCGACCAGTCTGTACGTTGTAGGTCGCGATGTTAATGTCTATCTCGGTCTTCCTGTCGCCGGCCTCGGTCGTCATGTGGAAGTAGCTAGCTTCGGCGGCCGTCGGGGCGGTGGTTGCTGTGAGACTGCGTTGTCCGAAGGTGGGGTAGGTCTCCATGGCGTTTTGGTCTGCGTCGAGCAAGAACTCACAGTCCCGGTGATCAGCTCCACCCATTATACTTGCCCACGCTTGCTGTGGAATTGGTACTGGGGCGATGCGTCCGCGGTTGGCGGCCGCGTCAGCAACTTCGTTCCATGGGTTATGCTCGTGGGCATGGACATGTTGCAGGTCGATCTCCTGGCTGACCCTGTCGTAGAGGACGCAGAGGGTCCTGACGAGGTGGGGGTCGCGGCTGGCGAAGGCCATCCTCTTCGCAAGCTGCAGGGCCCCCAGCGAGTCCGTCGAGATCGTGGCACTGTCGTCGTTGCGGTGGATGACCCAGGCGAAGGCCCATATGATTGCGGTGATCTCGACGGTGGTGGATGTAGTTTCCAGGTTACCGTTGTCCTTCACGGCGATTTCGGTGGCGCTCTTGTACTTCCCGATGATCGCACCTTGGAATGTGAAGCCGCAGTCGTCTTCCCAGACGATAATGGTTGCCCATGCGTCTTCGTTCGGCTGCATGGGGTGTTTGGAGCCGTCGGTGAATAGGTGGAACCTGGAGCGTGGCTGCAGTGGTCTCGGTGGATGGTGGCGGAGCATGTACTCGGCGGTATCGTTGAGGCTCTTGTCGCGGAAGTCAATGGTTAGTACTGGGTGCTGGGTTTGTTGTAGCGTCTGTTTGATGGTGGGGCTGGCGTTGAAGTCGATTCTGTGCATCATATGTGGTATCGGTGGTGCTGATTGTTGTTGTTGGAGGTCGGGTGGAAGTGGTATCTTTGCGGAGGGGGCACGGAAGTGTTGGGTTGCCTTCCCAGTAGCGGCCCTGAACGGTGCAGCTGCACGGAGAGGGGAGGGTCGAGGTCGTTGCTGCGTCGTTGGGTCGAAGTTGTCGCGCGGGGTGGGTATATATATATATATGTATCGTAGCTATGTCGCTGGTGCTGTGAGTGGGCGGGGTCGAGGTCGCTGCTTGAGGTAGTTGTCTGTTGCTGAGCATGGCGGGCGGGCTGGGCTTGACGGCTGGAGGGCGGTTGTAGTGCTGAGGTGGGGTGCCTAGGACTGTGTCTTTGATGTCTGGGATGTCACGTGGGTTTATTCCGTTGCTGAAGGCCACAGGTGGGCCCGGTGGATGACTGCGAGGCTCCTTGGAACCAGGAGTGGTGGGAGTTTGGAGACCTAGGTGGCCTGGCGCCTGCTGGTCTCCGCCGGTCGCGGGTCGGTCGGGCACGATTGGGGGAGGGGCCTCGTCCCTCGCTGGCCGCGCATGCGGGGGGGTGGTATTATGGCCGATCACGGCGATCATGGCGATCATGGCGGGCCGATCATGGCCGCGCACGCATTGGCGGGCCGATCATGGCCGCGGGCCGATCATGGCGATCATGCCGCGCACGCATTGGAGGGCCGATCATGGCGATCATGGTTTTCGTAATGGCTGCCTCCGCTGTGAGCTTCTTATCATCGACGTTGGCTGAGCGGGCTCCTGAAATCTGGTCTGCCAAACGTGCTAGTCGTTGATGCTTTGTGTGGGCCCACATACGTCGTAGATTCGGGATCTTCTGAGGGCTCGCCATAATTCTCATGAGTCCGAGCACGCGCCTTCGTAGCCTGGAGAAAACCATAAATGATGTCCTTCTGCTTCGTGGTGAAGCTGGGTGGGTCGATCCTGCTGAAGTCGTGCGGGTGGCCTGCGTTCTCCCTCTTATGTCTTGGAGTCTTGCTCTCCCTCGAGGAAGACCGTAGCGTGCTCCATCCACCTTTCCACTTCCAGCCCTGAGATCGCCATGGGTAAGGCCGCTCTCCGACGGCGGGGCCTGGGCCAGCGGTTGAGGACCCTGCTCCCGTCCTCCTCTTCGCCGATCCCCTTCTGTCCCCGCCAGCATGTCCATCGCCCCTGCTGCGCCATGGCGTGCAGCTGGTGGCACTGGTGCTGCTGGCTGCCCTGGTGCTGCCGCGCGGTGTGCTGCTGCGCGGCGCGTGCTGCTGCGCGGAGTGGTGCTCCGTCGAGGCCTTCGCGGCGTTCCGAGGACGCAGAGCGGTGTCCTTTCGCTGAGGACTTCCTCTCCTTGTTGGCGCTGATGCCAAGCGGGTTCGCCCTCGCGGGGCGTTGCGGCTGCGGGTCCTGGGCCTGCGGCCCGCGGCGCGCAGGCACAGGATGATGGGGCGGCCCACGGCCGCGCGAGGGGGCGACGGCGACGACCCCTGGCGGCGGCGGCGGCGGGCCCCGCCCCTCCTCGGCCCGTGGCTTCCCTCCTCCTCTTCCTCCTCCTCCTCCTCCTCCTCCTTCTTCTCCTCCTCCTCCTCCTCCTGAGGCTGCTGGCCTCCCCCCCTGTCGTTCCAACTTCTCTAGTTTCCAAGGCCCGCCCCGTGTGGGGTGTCCCCGCGTCTCGGCGGGACATCGATCCACCGCTTTTGGGAGTTTTCCTCTTCAGAAGTGTGGGCCCCCCCCCAATGTGGAGATTTCGGGCTAAACAGACCTGGCCCAGAGCAGCGGATGCGTAGTGAACCTGAAGTCGAGCCCGAATGAGAAGGAACGGAACTCCTCCTCCTCCTCCTCCTCCTCCTCCTCCTCCTCCTCCTCCTCCTCTTCCTCCTCCTCCTCCTCCTCCTCCTCCTCCTCCTCCTCTTCCTCCTCCTCCTCCTCCTCCTCCTCCTCCTCCTCCTCCTCCCTCCCAGGCCTTCGTCCTGGCCAGGGCCATCCTGCGCCCACGGATGGTGCGCAGACCACCCCTGGCCTCGGGCAGGCCGGCGCTTCCCGGGGCAAGGCCCAGAACGGTCCAGGCATCCGACGTCGTGCTGTTCTCACGGCGTGGCTCCCGGGAGGTGTGGCCATCTTCCCGCGGACCAGATTTTCATCCCGAGTCGTTTCTGACGGTCCAAGGGTCCATTGAGGGCGCCCGGAGGCCGAAGATTGGCAAAACAGCGATGCGCGTTTCAGGATGGTGGTCGTGTCCAGGCGCCTTCTGCGCATGGGACCCGCTTCTCTTCCTCGCCCGACTGATCTTTCCCAGGTGCGAGCGCCCCCGCCGCCGCCCATGCACCATCCGACGCTGGCTGGAGCCGCGGGCGCGGCGGCGATGACGCCGGCGCAGCTGCAGCAGGCTGGCCAGCTGATTGGTGTCCGTGCGATCGGCATGGGTGCGCAGAGAGCAGAGGCCAAGGCTGACAGCAGTTCCTGCCCATCTTGAATTGGACTCGCTGCCGGCGTCGCTGTGGACGTCGTCCACTTGGGACGAAACGTCGCCTGGTCAGCAGCGGCGTCACCCCAACATACTTATAGTATATGCGTCGTGGCGGGCGCTGTCTGGCCACACCGCTCGGGAAACGATATACTACAAGATGGGTATACTATATGTTCGTGTCGGACGCGCGCCTGCAAGGAGGACATATAGTACTAGTATGTCCTTGTGCCTCTCACAGCAGTGGCCGATGCCGATGTTGGATGACACTTGCTGTCCGTTTCGAGCGTGCCACTTGCGGGCCTGCACCCTGCACACCTCGAGGCTCCGAGAGCCTCCATTGGAGCCCGGCGTGCAGGAGGCGGGTCCTGAGGCACAGAGGTCCGAGAGGCGCTCTCTGTTGCGGGGCCCTCCCGGGGCCCTGCCTGGGCCCCGGGGCCGCCAAGAGCGTGTCGGGACGACGGAGACTTGGTCCTGGGGGGGGGGGGGGCTCGGGGTCCCCCTGTTCGGGGGCGAACGCCGCGTGGTGAGTCACTGGGGATCCGGGGCCACCGCACGGTCCTGGGACTCGGGCCGTCCTCCGAGGACGACTCGGGCGACTGGGGTCGCCAGGATCCCGGGAAGCGTGTGGTGGCGGACTGCGCGGTGCGGCGGTGAGGTCTTTGGGATTCCGAGGTCACCAGGCGGTCTGCCTCCGCACCGTTTTGGGCCACCTCTTGGATGGGTGGGCGCGGCAGGTTCACGCCGCGCCGTCGCGGCGGCGACCCCACGCGGGCCTTCAAGCTTGAAGGCCGCCTGTGGCCCCGTGTGGAGCTCCACGGGAGGCCCCAGTGGCAGGGTTCGCATAGCGTCCCCCAGCCCATGTCGGTACTTCCCTCTCACGCTTCGTGGCATCATAGGGAGCTCCACCCAAGGCCCCACTGGCAAAGGCCGCACGCGTGCCCACGCAAATACTGCCACACCCCTGACAGTTTTCATGGCCCCATGGGGAGCTCCACCGAAGGCCCCAGTGGCAGAGGCCGCGACCGTGCCCACGCAAATATCGCCACACCCCTCACACACGTCGCAGCCTCATAGGGAGCTCCATCAAGGGCCCCAGTGGCAAAGGTCGTATGTGTGCCCACGCAGCTATCGCCACACCCCTCACACGTTTCGTAGCCCCGTAAAGAGTTCCACCAGAAGCCCCAGTGGCAAAGGCCACATGCGTGCTCACGCCCATTTCGGTGCACACCTCGCACTCCGCCGAAGGCCATACTAGCAGCGGTCGCATGCCGCCGCCCCACCCATTTTGGCACACCCTTTAGACGCCTCGTAGCCCCATAGGGAGCTCCACCGAAGACCCCAGGACGCGCACTGCATATGACGAGAGGGCTGCACCATGGGCTCCTCACAGCTGCATATGGTTGGGTCCTTCGACAGGCTAATTTATCTAAGGCTGGGTGTGACCCAGAATCGGTGGAATGTGGTCTCACGTATGGTCTCCCATATGGATTCCCGCATGGTGTACTTACGGTCTCCCATGAGTTCTCCCCGATGGTTTTCTGTATGATATCCCGCACGGTCTCCCGCGTGGTCTGCCCCATGGTCAATTTTATGATCTTCTGCAAGGTATCCCGTACATTTCCCGTATGTTTCTTTGTATGTTCTCGTGCCGTATGTTCGTCGTTGTGGTTTCCCATACGGTCTCCCGTCTGATATCCAGCATGGATTCCCGTATGACCCCCTGTATTTAGAGTACAACATACTGTTTCTAGTAGTCATGGGTGATGTGTAGGGTATTATGCCGCCAGGGTGTAATGTATGTCGCTTGGGGGTTCTTCACAGCAGGCGCAAGCCCAGTTCGCGCAGTACCGCGCCCAGCTTTACGCCCAACAGCAGTATGCCTACCAGCAGCAGCTCTACGCCCAGCAACTGTACCACTACCAGCAGCAGCAGCTCCAGATGCAGCAGCTGCGCGCCAGTCGGCAGCCCAGCAAAGCCCGACAGCGTCGACCAGGGCCCGCTTCTGGATCGCTGGTCGCTGCCTCCCCGCTCGATCAGGCGGAGATTGAGGACCCTGACATTTTAGCTTCGCCCTAAGACTGCACAACGACGTGTGTTCCTGCATGTGCTGGCCCCCAGGGACCCTCATCCAGCCCCAGGACCGGCAAACAATCACTGTGGATCAAAAACCGGTCTTGGGGAAGGGGTCCAGAATTTTTGGGGACCCCGCTGGAAGGGGAGTTGGCGACGGGGATGAAACAGTGGGGGGACCAGTTTGGATGGAAAAAATCACGACGTTGGAGTTCTGGGGAAGGGGACGGCGGCGAGAAGGAGAGGAAAACGAGGGGGACAAGGCGGAAGAGGAGGAGCGGTGAGCTAGGCTACGAATCGTGGATCTGGCGAGCCCATCCCGACTATGAGAAGGAGCTCGCGCCAGGAGCTGCGGCTGCGGGGCCGCGTGCGGACCACAATATCTCGATGGGGCGACGACGGGCCCCCGAAGACCCGCACAGGGCGAGAGAGGAGCCAAAAGCAGTGCCAACCTCGATCCTCGAGCCCGGACCCCGCCGAGGGCCCGGGAGATGCCCGGAGGTTCAGCAGGGGGCAGAGACGGTCGCGGGCCTCCCTCTGGATTCTCGAGGGCCGAGCGCAACACGCTGCATCTCCTCCGTCCTTCCCGCTGCCGAAGCCCCCGGACGCTCGAAAGGCACGAGGCGCAAGGAAGCATCCCTCGAACCTCGACCCTCCTCTCTCCCTCCCTCCCTCCCTCATCCATGCCCCCTGCCTCCCCCCCCTTATCCTCCTCTTCTTTTTTTCCCCTTCCTTCTCCTCCTCCTCCTCCTCCTCCTCCTCCTTCTCCTCCTCCTCCTCCTCCTCCTCCTCCTCCTCCTCCTCCTCCTAAGTGGCCATTCTAGCTCAAGGCCGACAGGAGGCGCGCGGTCCTGCTTTACATGCCCATGACGCTACGACATCGTCTCTGAGGAAGCATACAGGAGATAGCCGTCCGCCCCTCCAGCAAAGTGGCTCACGGGTCCCTATGTACAGTGCTCCCTCCCGTGAGGCCATCCAGGATGCACATGTCACGCTCAGGCCCTCGGCGTTCGTAGACGTCCCCCATCCCACGAGTGACGCACACTCGCTCCTCCGACGCGCCGAAGAATCCAGTCGGCGAGCAGTCACAAAGGCGGGCTGCGCTCAATGTCATTCAACGTAGCATGCTACGGGTCGCGCCAGCATGAATGAGAAACGAGCTTGTTACCGGGTCGCGCCGGCACACACACACACACACATTGTCGGTCGTTGCGGGGGGGCGACTCGCCACACCCTCCGACACGCCGCGCGGAGGGCTGCGTGGGCGCCCAGTAGTCCGAAGAGAGGCGAGAAAAGGCGAGGCAGCGGCCGGGTGCGGCGCTGGCGCGCCAGATCAGCGAAGGCAGCGGCCAAGGCGGCTCGACTTGGGACGACGAGGGGCCAGCAGGGCAAGGGAGAGGCGGGGCCGAGCAAAGAGAGGGAGAAGCGAGGAGCGAAGAGCGACAGGAGACGGACGGGCGCGAGGAACACGGCCGACTGACGGGAGAGGGGAAACTTGGGGGAAGAAAGGAGACAGCGCACACACACACACACACTCACTCACTCACTCACTCACTCACTCAAACACACACGCACGCACAAGGGGAAGGCAAGACACAAAGAGGGGAAGGAGCCAGCCGAGGAAGGAGGCGAGAGGGAAGAGGGAGGCACAGCACAGAGGCAGGAGGAGAAGGGAGGGGCCAAGGGCGGCCGAAGGCCTGCCAAGCGGGAAGAGCACGCGGAGGCCGTGCCCCGAGAGGGGGAGGGCGGGGGGAGTTGAGGGGACGACGACGACGACGACGACGACGACGACGACGACGACGACGACGACGACGACGACGGGAGAAGAGATGGACGAGGCCCCCCCCGCACGCGGAGCGAGCTGCCCCCCGCCAAGGGGTCAGAGAGAAGAGCGCGCCACCGCCGCAGGGAACGCGGGGTCGCACCGATGAGCCGTGCGACGAAGAGGGTGCCTTGGCCCACGGAGGGTGCCGCACAGGACCGCACGAAGATCCGCCGCTCCCGCCACCTCCCTGGGTGCACAGCGACCTCGCAGCATCTGGGGCTGAGCGGCCCCTCAGGGACGACACCAGAACGAGGAGGAGGAGGAGGAGGAGGAGGAGGAGGAGGAGGAGCAGGGGAAGGAGGAGGAGGGGGCGCGGCCCGAAGCTCGCCTTCGAGCCCGACGAAGGGGCGGGAAGCCCCGGCTGAAGATGCATGCTCGCGCGGTCATCGGGCTCGACGATGGCGGGTGCGCCCCGCTTCACACTCGCAGAGTTCACCCTGAAACGGCCGCGACATGGCGACGACGATGACGACGGCGCCGCGTTATTTCGACGGGGCACATCTGTAGGGGCGAGTGCAAAATTTGGTGGACGCGCGTCTCTATGATGCGATGTGACATGGCAGGGCGCGACGCGATCGTGTCCTCGAAATAATGGATGTATTGGAATAGAGTAAAGCACGGCCTTGCGTCTAGACACAGGCGCCCGCGTGCAAGTGCTCTTGTGCATGCGCCCATGCGTCGACGCGACGCGCGCCGGCCCCCCCGCGCACGGCGGCGCACTTTGACCGGGGGGGGCGCGGGGGGGGGGGGGGCTGCGACATCTACCATCACCCGCAAAAAGGGAGATGCGACGGGGAAGAGAAGGGCCCGCGGCCTATGCGGGGCGGGTAAAAGGTTGGGCGCGAGACGCTTCAAGTCGGCGCCCGCCGCAACCTCGCGCTCGCAAGTCCGACCTGAGCAAGCGATGAAATTTGGCCCTACATGAAAGCGATGAGTAGGCGGCGAAACAGAACCGCGCTCTCGTCGCCCGCGCGCGACAAGACGACGGGAGCCGGCAGGGCATCATGTCGCGCGGCGCGAGCTTGAGCTTGCAACGCGCGCCCGCACTCGATTCGCCGCGCCCGCTAATCCACCGGCGACTCAAAGAACGAGGGCGGGGGGGGGAGGGGAGAGGCAGAGGAGGAAAGGAGAAGAATGGAGGAGGCCGCGCAGGACCGGCTCGACATCGCCTGAGTGTTTTGCGCCGCTGCGCGTTCGAATGCGTTTGCATTGCGTCGTCTGCAGCGGGGTCGGCGACCTCGCTGGATCGGACTTCCGGCGGCCTCGGGCGGCCCGGCCCGCCCGCGGCGCGGCCCCGGGGCGGCCCGAGACGCCTGCGAGAATGACCCGCTGCGGCCCCGCGTGGCCCCCGCCGCGGCGGCCCCGCGACGCCGCCGAGAGCGCCCAGCGCAGCCGCGACATGCATCCAACACTGCCCAACATCGCCTCGCGACAGCCCCGCGCCCCAGCGAGGCGAGATCACGGGATTTGAGCCGGAACCGCCGGGAGCCCCGCGCAAACGACATCACACAAACGCAGCAGCGCACGCAGCCCCTCCGCGCGCACCCCCCGCGCGCCGTTCGCGACGCCAGGACAGGAAGTGCCGACCGCGGGGGCGGGCGCTGCGAAGGCGCCGCGCTGGGCGCGGATGGACGACGCACGGGCGCGGCTGCCCCTGGGCTTCCCGATGAGCTTCCGCGGGCAGCGCCCGCGCTGCCCAAAAGCGCGAAGGGGGAGGCTGCGCGCAACGAGCGCGCCGCGCGCCGCGCTCGGCGACGGCGCCGCGACGTCGATGATCGGCGGCGCCCTCCGCAGCGACGCGGGCGCTCTGTTGCTCGGTTCGGCCAAGGCACCGCGGGGCGTTCCGAGGGGGGCGCGAGGTTCGCTTTTGCTCATAGAGCATGGCAGAGCGTGCGCCGCGCGCATCAGACAGTTCACGCGTCGATGCCGACATTGATCAGGAGGGGAAAAAACACACAGACACAATTAATCGTCGACTCCCAGGAAAATATGCAAAAATATGGGAAGTGGGGGGGAAGACAAAAACCCAGAAAATATAGGAAAATATAGGGAATCCTTTTATTTGTGGGTATTTGTTTGTGTGTCCTGGGGCCCCTTCAATTGAGTTCCATCACGTAGACAAGTACATGCGACGCGTATAGGACATGTGGGAACATAACATTTACGTATGAAAACGGCAACCAAGTGTGCCACTACCCGGGCATGGCTTGGAAGCAAATGTTCGGTGAACTACTTCAGCCATGCCCGACGCATACGCCGAGAAGGATTTGGGTCGAATTCGATGTAGTAAGCCGGTTTTGCTTCAAGTCAGAACCATTTTTAATGTGTACACCAGTCGAGTGCATGAGTCCTCGGTCGACTGCAGTATTTGGCTATAGTTTGACATAAGTCGCCGCGTAACTAAGTTATACGTCGCCCCAGCTTCTGTTACCCAGTGGCGTTGCAACGCGATTCCGCCACCGCGCTTGGGCGGGCGCCCGGGGGGGCGGGCGGGGGGGGTGGATGATCCATCGAACGTCCCTCCCCCGACCTCCAATTTAGGCACATGATCTGCTTCGAAAGCCAAAAACGCAAGGACTTGGTCGTACAAGTGAGCGTCGGGGTCAACTTCTTCTTTCGCATGGAGCGAGAGGGCCCAACACACACACACACACACACACACACACACACACACACACCTATCGCTGCAAACGCGGCGGCGGATATTAAGACGACGTGAACAGTATGTCGCCAAGTCTGTGTGGTCTAACTACGGTTCGCCCCTGAAGTTTATGGCGCGTTGCTTCGGGCACGCGTCTCGTTCTGAGCTCCGCTCTGCCCTTGCCGTTGGGCAATCTTCCCCTTGCAGCTGAGATTATTTGTCCTCCGCCTTCCCTCCCTGCCTCCCTCTTCCCTTCCCCCCCTCTCTTATCCCTTCCTCCCCTTCCAGTTCCTCATCCGCGGAACAGGGACAGAAGGATGCGCGCGTTGTCCCCTTCATCTTCCTCCTCCCTTCCCTTTCCCTTTCCCTCCTGACGGTGACGCTGCAGGCGTTGGATCCGAAAACGGTTCTGCACAATCCCCTCCATCCTCCTCTTCCTCTTCCTGCTTTTCTTCCTCCTCCTCCTGCACCTCCTCCTCTTCCTCCTCCTCCTCCACCATCCGTTTTACGTATGAATAATCCCTCCCTGTGTACCCCCAG